CCCACCGTCTAAGCTCCCAAACTGCCTCTTCACAGGAATCGTTCCAAAACATTTTGTGGTGCGTTAGCGATGGGACGCCGTCGTCCGCTTGCAATTTTACTGAAGCGAACGTGCGCGGCGCTAAAGCAACAACCGCATTTTGAACACATAATCGCCCTCAACCTGTGAAGCTCTCGCATTGTTTAAAAGAATAGCGAATGTGCGATGCGCTAAGGCAAGTGCCACATTTTGAAATCCAGCCGCCATCCCTCCGTGAAACCTTTGCATTTTTTTTAAGCGAGTGTGCGCGGCTTTTAGGCGAGAGGCACATTTTGAAATCCGCCCGCCCTCCATCCGTGAAGGTGTTGCAGGTCATACATGGTGAGGAAGTCTCACGCAAAACGCCCGGCCCGCCGTTCCGACTGTCCTCGGGGTGCGATGGGGAGGAGTTGTTTATTATGAGTGGAGGAGGAAGAGGAGGAGGAGGAGCATGATGATGATGAGGAGGAGGAGGAAGAGGAGGGGGATTAGGAGGAGGAGGAGGAGGAGGAGGAGGAGGAGGAGGGAGGAGGAGGAGGAGGAGGAGGAGGAGGGGGAGCGGGAGGAGGGGGAGGAGGAGGAGGAGGAGGAGGGGGAGGAGGAGGGGGAGGGGGAGGAGGAGGAGAAGGAGGAGGAGGAGGAGGAGGAGGAGGAGGAGGATGAAATTGGGCGTGTGCGCCCCTCGTCCTGGAGGACAGCTTCCATATATGTTAGCTTTTGTGGGCCTTTCAGGTGCTCACCTGGCGGATCTGTCCGACTGGGCAGGGCTCGTTTCGATTCCTCCGATTCGATTTTATTTTGACGGCTTCCGATTCCGAATCGGTTCGATTTGGGATTCCGAATCGGTTTCCGATTTCTCCATGGAGGGCTACCAGCCTGCCGATTTCCGCCGACTCGACTTGTCCAGGCTCGGCTGCCGATTTCTGCAGGTCCGATTCATTTCGATTGCCGATCCGACTTATCGATTCGATTTGGGCTCTTCGACTCTACCTTGATTCGAGGACGGCTCGAATCGACGGGCGTTCGACGCAGCATCGACGCACGAGTGGAGCGAGAGGCAGTGGGCAGGCCCCCCAGAACGAGTATCCGAGAAGAACGGGGATCCAGCGCAGTAATTCTCGTGCTGTGTGCGCCCCTTGCTTCGGAAGGCTCCCTTCCCAGGGCCCACAGCGAGCCTGAGCTGTGCAGTCGTTGACGGGTCCTCGCCGAGCGGCCATCGGACGACCCTATCTCGGTTCAATCGATCCGATCCGATGTCGAGCTCGCCTAGCTCCATCCGATACGGCATCGATCTCCTGGCGACCCGGTGCGGCCCAACGCTCGCGTGGTGCTGCTTTGCATCCTGGCGCAGCCGATGCGATGCCAAGTCCGATCCGATCCGCTTCCCGATTCGATGCTGACTGGTTCAGGAGGGACAGAAACGCGCAGACACAATTCATCGTCGATTCCGAGGAAGATATGGGAAACTATGGGAAGTGGGGGGGGAGACAAAAGCCCAGAAAATATAGGAGAACATGGGGAATCCTTTGAATTGTGTGTATGTATCTGTGTGTCCCAGTTCCCCTTCACTGGTCCCCCCGTCCCCTCGACCTCCTGCCTGCGCGGGTCTGGCTCCCCCGCGCCACCCTGTGTGGCCGGGTGTGGCTGGCCACCCTGTCGAGGCTGGGAGGATGGCAGGGGTCGAGGAGCAGCGAGATGCCCTCCGCTCCTGAGAGAGCTGCGCTCTATAGTCTGCCAAGAGGGGGTGAGAGAGAGAGAGAGAGAGAGAGAGAGAAAGAGAAAGAGAAAGAGAGAGAGAGAGAGAGAGAGAGAGAGAAAAAGGGACAAAGAGAGAGGGCGAGAGAAAAGTAGAGAAAGAGTACAATACGATACATATATATATATATATATGCATATATATATATGTATAAATATATAGGGAGAGTGAGAGAGAGAGAACTATAGCGATTCATGACAGACGCGCGACAGAGTTTGCCTGAGAAGCAGCTTGCGTTTCCACGGTGCAGATTGGATCAGCTGGTCTATCTAGTGAGCAGGCAGCCTGAACACGGGCGTCAGGCGGAAAAGAGCACGGAGCCTGACCTCGAGCAATTACGTATGTGCTTGTCTGAGGGCGAACCCGACCTCAGCTCAACCTGCGAGAGCCGCGCGTTTGTCTAGAGCCCAAGCCGTCCTCGAACGACCACGCGGCTCTCTCTGCTCTTCCCTCCGCCGCCTCCTCCTCCCCGCTGGTGATCTGTGGCTTGAGGGATGCCGTGTGACGCGTGCTTCTGGGCTGGGGGCTGCCACTGCTGTTCTGTGGGGAAAACAAAAACACACACGGTGGGACAAAACAAAAAAGTGTGTGCTTTTTTTCCCACAGTGTTTTTCCCCCACAGTGTGTGTGTGTGTGTGTGTGTGTGTGTGTGTGTGTGTGTGTGTGGGTGTGTGTTTTTGTTTGTGTGTGTGTGTGTGTTTCCCCCCCCCCCCCCCGCAGAGCTCACCAGGCTGCATCGGGCGAGGCCCTCGACCGACCGACCGACCACGCCCGCCCCGCCGAGCGCCCCGCGGGGGGGCAGGTGGCCAGCGCGCCCATGCTCGTGGCCACGGGCGCAGCGCACTGCTGGGCGGTGCGCCGCGCTCCCCCCCTCCCCCCCTATCCTCGCTCCTGCCCCCCTCCCCTATCCTCGCTCCCCTGTCCTCGCTCTTCCCCCCCCCCCCTCCTCTATCCTCTTTCCCCCCCCCCCCTTCCCTCCCCTCACCCTCGCTGGGTGCTGGCTGCGGGGGCGCGGGGGGTGGAAGGAGGGGGCCACGTGCGAGCCCTGCCCCCTACCCCCCACGATTTCTGAGGGGGAGGGGTGGGGCTCACTTCCGCTCGGGAGCTCCCGAGCGAAGGGAACCCCCCCTCCCCCCCTCAGAAATCGTGGGGGTAGGGGGTAGGTTCGCACGTGGCCTCCTTATGGGAGGAGGGGGCCACGTGCGAACCCCTACCCCCTGCCCCCCCACGATTTCTGAGGGGTGGGGTCCACTTCGCTCGGGAGCTCCCGAGCGAAGGGAACCCCACCCTCCCCCCCAGAAACCGTGGGGGGTATGGGGTAGGGTCCGCATGGGGCCCCCTATCTGGGAGGCGGGGGAGAGACTGGGTGCACGCTGGGGCTGGCTGGGGGGGCGGCGTGGCCCAGCAGAAAAAGGCGGGCGAGGGGAGCCCTCTCGTCGCCATGGCTGGCTGGACGCGGCTCGAACAACGGGTCAGTTTCGATCTTGGGAAGGGGTTTGGGACCGGATTCTCTCGGGGCCCGTCCAGCGTCGACCCCCCAGCCGTTTCCAAGGTAAATGCAAGAGTGGCTCTTCGCCTGGGGGACCTTCTGGTGCGCGCAGCGATGGGCAATCCGCACGCGAAAGAGGCCACTCTTGCACATGGTCTCTCTTGCACATGGTCACTCTTGCATGTAGCCGAAGCGAGCGACCTATATATGTATATATATATATAGAGAGAGAGAGAGAGAGAGAGAGAGAGAGAGAGAGAGAGAGAGGGAGAGAGAGAGAAAGAGAGAGAGAGAGAGGGAGAGAGGGATATATAGAGAGAGAGAGAGAAATAAGGATAATCAGAGAGAGAGAGAGAGATAAAACAGAGAGCCAGAAGAGAGAGAGAGAGAGAGAGAGAGAGAAAGAGAGAGAGAGAGAGAGAGAAAGAGAGAGACAGAGAGAGAGAGAGAGAGAGTGTGACGGAGAGAGGGGCGTGTGGGAAACAGACGAGGCGAAGGAGGAGCTGCAGGAGGCGGGCGAACATGGATTATATGAACAAAGCAAATTCTTGGCGCTTCGCGTAGAGGAGTAGGAGGAGGAAGAGGAGGAGGAGGAGGAGGAGAGGAGGAGAGAGGATAGGAGGAGGAGGAGGAGGAGGAGGAGGAGGAGGAGGAGTAGGAGTAGCAGCAGGGGGGAGGAGTCATGAGGAGCAAGACGAGGAGAAGGAGGACGAGGATGAGGAGGACGAGGACTAAGAGAGTGAGGATGAGGAGGAAGCGGAGGGGGAGGAGGAGAAGGAGGAGGAGGAGGAGGAGGGCTCTCTTGGAGCGCTCTTGGGCGCTTTTGGGGCCGTCTTGGGGCCCTCCTGGGGCCCTCTTGGAGCTCTCTCGGGGCCCTCCTTGGGGCTCTCTTGGGAACCCTGGAGGCCCTCTTGGAGCCATCTTGGAGGCTATCGATCAAATGAGGGGATTCCTTTCTCTCCGTCCCCCTTTGGGGTCCTCAAAACCGTTTCTTGGGGCGCTCTTGGGGCGCTCTGTGGACGATCTTGGGCGCTCTTGGGGCCGTCTTGGGGGCCTCTTGGACCCCTCTCGGGCTTGTGCCATCTTGGAGCCATCTTGAGGCCTCAGAAGCGCATTTGAAGCGAAACGTCGAGAAGGCAGACATCGTTGATTCTCTTCAGGTTATATGATGGATTTTGGCTTTTCGGGGAGGGGTCCTTGAAGGCACCTGGAACCGTCTTGTGGCCCTCGTGGGGCCTCTTGGAGGCATGTCCGAAGCTGTCTTGAAGCATCTTCGGCTGTGTTGAGCCGTTTTGGAGGCCATCTTGGAGCATCGGAGGCCCTCTTGGAGCCATCTTGGGCCATCTTGGACGCTCCAACCCCTCGTGGAACCCCCCGTCTGGGTCCTGGGGATGGGGTAGGGCGAGGGGTAAACCCCTCCCCGTTAGACCACCTGTCGCCCAGAGGGCTGGTGCGATTGTTGTAATGACGACGACGACGACGACGTCGCAACGACGACGACGACGTCGCAACGACGACGACGACGACGACGACGACGACGACGACGACGACGACGACGACGACGACGACGACGACGACGACGACGACGACGACGACGACGACGACGACGACGACGACGACGACGACGACGACGACGACGACGACGACGACGACGACGACGACGACGACGACGACGACGACGACGACGACGACGACGACGACGACGACGACGACGACGACGATACGACGACGAGGGGGGGGGTGGCGGGTGCGGCGGGCGAGGGGCGGAGGCGGGCGGAGGCGGAAGGCCCCCCCCCCCTCCTTGGCATCGCCCGGACGTCTACATTTCTCCTTCGGCGAGGACCATCGAAGAGCATCCTGGATCACTTGGCGAACAAAACCACGCACGAAGCCGACAAAAAAGCGCACGGCATGGACGTCCGAGCGATGGCGAGCCTCCGCCTCCTCCCCTCCCCGTGCTGCCTGCTGCCCCGCGGCAGGGCTCGCCCGCGCGCAGGTGGCATCGCCCGGACGTGTGCATTTCTCTCCTCCGGCGAGGACCATCGAGGAGCCTCCTGGATCACTTGGCGAAAACATCACGCGCGGAGCCGACAAAAAAGCGCACGGCGTGGACGTCCGAGCGATGGCGAGCCTCCGCCTCCTCCCCTCCCCGTGCTGCCTGCTGCCCTGCGGCAGGGCTCGCCCGCGCGCGGGTGGCATCGCCCGGACGTGCGCATTGCTCCTCCGGCGAGGGCCGTCGAGGAGCCTCCTGGTTCACTTGGCGAAAACATCACGCACGATGTCTCCTTGATCACTTGGCGAAAACTTGTGGATCATCCTCCTTGATCACATCGAGGAGCCTCCTTGATCACTCGAGAAGCCGACAAAAAAGCGCACGGCATGGACGTCCGAGCGATGGCGAGCCTCCGCCTCCCGCCCCTCCCCGTGCTGCCTGCTACCCTGCGGCGGGGCTCGCCCGCGCGCGCCGGCGCCGCGAGCCGACCCCTCCGCGAGCGCTCCGTGAGCTCCTCCTCCTCCTCCTCCCTCCATCTCCTCCTCCTCCTCCTCCTCCCTCCTCCATCTCCTCCTCCTCCTCCTCCTCCTCCATCTCCTCCTCCTCCTCCATCTCCTCCTCCTCCTCCTCCATCTCCTCCTCCTCCTCCTCGTCCTCCTCCTCCTCCTCCATCTCGTCCTCCTCCTCCTCCTCCTCCTCCTCCTCCTCCTCATGAATCAGGCGAAACCCATCCGGCGGAAGGCGCCCAGCAGGGCTGGCGGGCGCGGCCTTTACGGGGAACCGATCGGCGCGGCTCAAGGGCCCTACATGGCGGCGGCGGGAGCAAGCAGGGAGCGGAAGCGGACTGGAGGAGGCAGAGGAGACAAGATGAGGTGAGAACTAAGACGGATGGGATCGGTTGTCTCTCCGGGGGGGGGGAACGCTGCCGGTGGCCGGGGGCCCTCTGCGGGACGTGGAAACGACCACAGCCACTGCTCACCAGCCTCGAGCTTATCCCTATCCCTAAGATTGGCACGCCAGAGGGCGATGACAATCTTAGGGGTTCGCCCTGAAAAACTAAGAGAATCCCTAAGATGGGCATCGTGACGAGGAGATGCCCAGCACAGGGATAGGGATATGTTCCAGGCTGGTAAACTGCTTTTCTTTTGTTGTTGCCTTCCAGCCAGCAGAAACGAAGCAGTGGTTGTGGTCATTTTCGTTAAGCTTGGCACCAGGGAAATGACCACAACCACTGCTTCTTCTTTCGGCCGGCTGGTGTGTACGGGATCCTGGTGCATACATTTTTGGTTGTTTCCCCAGGAAAACGGGGAAGAAAGTACACACCACACCACCCCGACGTCGTCCCAGACCCTCCAAAAAAGCCTGGGATTGAACAACACCGCCCGCCACTGGTGGTGCATATGCTCCGGCTTCCGACTTCGAGGCCCGTCCCTTCGCGGCCCTCTGCACCCACAGCGAGGCGGCCCCCGTCGACGACCATGCCGCGGCGTCGGCTCCGCCGCGACCCGCCGACGGCACAGACCGCCCGATGCTGGAGGGTGCGGGACGGGAAAATGACCACAGCCTTTTCCTGTGCGAGATTCAGTGTGAGGCCAGAACGGCGTCGGTGTATAGAGTTCGGTTCCCTACGACGGGGGCTGCCTCGCGCGGGTGCAGGGGGCCGCGAAGTGACGGGCCTCGTAGCGCTGGGCAGCAGAGCGTCAGATCACGTGAAAGCAGTCCGGCATCGTCGAGCCGATCCCAATCCATTGGGCCCATGGTATCTGAGCCCCATTTGTCCCCCCCCCAGGTGGGGATATTCGGCCAGTGGGGCCAAGGCCTTGCCAGTGGGGATGGAAACGATGCCACCAAATGTCAGCATGCGTAGTTTTGCCTTCACTTCGGTTGTGATATCGGCCGATAGTAACTCGGTGGGCCACGCGGCAAGGGACCCTACCGAGGTCTCACAGTGCCCTCCAGGGCAGCGCTAGTTGACCGACCCGGCCAGGGCGGACAATGTGATGACTTTGGGTCGGTTGGGCGAACATTCTGAGATATTTGGCAATTCGTTTTCAGAAAACGTATTTTTCTCACCTGCAGTAGGTTATGTCGCGTCTGCCGATAATTTGTTCAGGTCCGTAGCTGCAGTATTACGATCAAAAGACGTAGAATTATTTCCATGATAACACCTCATTATTTCAGTTTTTCAAGAACTATGCTTTCTCGACCTCTCTGGTTAGACTTCCTGCATTTTTCTGCATGCGATGAGCCGCGCGCGGTTTCCTGGCGCACCACGGGCGCAGTTCTAATACATTTGGCGAGGGGGGAAACAGAGAAAAAACAATAACACAATCCATACTACTACTACTACTACTACTACTACTACTACTACTACTACTACTACTACTACTACTACTACTACTATTACTATTACTACTACTACTACTGCTGCTGCTACTACTACTACTACTACTACTACTACTACTACTACTACTACTACTACTACTACTACTACTACTACTACTACTACTACTACTACGACTACTACGACTACTACTACTACGACGACGACGACGACGACGACGACGACGACTACTACTACTACTACTACGACTACTACGACTACAACGACGACTACTACTACTACTACTGCTACTACTACTACTACTACTACTACTACTACTGCTACGACTACTACGACTACGACTACGACTACGACGACTACTACTACTACTACTACTACTACTACTACTGCTGCTGCTGCTGCTGCTACTACTACTACTACTGCTGCTGCTGCTACTACTACTACTAATACGAATCACAGTAATCATAAAACAATACACAAACATTTCAACAAACAATATAACACATCTCTCTCTCTCTCTCCCTCTCTCTCTCTATATATATATATATTCTCATACGCACCTCTCCGAGGGAGTAGAGCTCAGAGGCGATTAATGCGCACGTCGTCCGCGATTTTTCTGGCCGTTTCGCTCGGGACATCCTCGAAATTCTGAAAATCGGTGGCACCCCTCACGCAGATCGTGACGTCAGGGTCCAACAACACATGGGAATTACAACATTTTTACATAACGCCTTCAAAAACACATGGTAATTTCAAGAATTTTGACCCCGATTCTCAGATAATTGCGGTTTCGCCTGAGACATCCTCCCAAAATCGAGCCCCAGACCCCTCCTCGGAGCCTCCTGGGGGCCTCCTGGAACCTCCTGGGGCCTCCTGGGGCTTTCTGGACCTTCTGGTACCCCAGACCCCGCCTCGGAGCCTCCTGGAGTTCTCCTGGGCCTGCTGAGGCCGCCTGGGGCCTCCTGGGGCCTCCTGGGGCTTCAGAACTACATGCACACACAGAGACACAAATCACGCCCAACACATCACACGCTAGACAAACATAACATACACACACACAACACCGACAACACACAAAAAGCACGCACCACACAAAGCACACATCACACACAACACTCACAATCCTGGGGCCTCCTGGAGCCTCTTCTGGTATCCAAGTCGGGCCTCCTGAGGCTTCCTGGGGGCCCTGGTACACACATCGCAAGGTGTGGCAACCCCACTTGCGCTCGAGTGCGACTTCGCTGCTGCATGTCACTCCTGCTTCAAACGCCCCTTCATCTTGTTGTATGAGCCTGGGCACACACGTGCCACTTGTATATTTTATATATATATATATATATATATATATATATATATGGCGGGGGGGACCTCCCAGCGCGCCCCCCAGGCGCCCCCAGGGCCCTCCCAGGGACCTCCCCAGGGCGCTCCCCTGGGAGAGCGCCCGGACGCCGCGGGGGCGCCCCAGGCGCCCCTGGGCAGGCTTCGGGCCGCGCGCCCCTCGCATCGCTCGGACGTGTGGGCTTGTTCCTCGGCGAGGGCCATCGAGTGCATCCCCTGCCCCCACTCCTCCTCCTCCTCCTCCTCCTCCTCCCCCTTTTCCTCCTCCTCCTCCTCCTCCTGGGCCATCCGGGCGACGTAAGAGCCGGAGGTTGATAGACCTCCTGCCCTGACACGTCGATTAGCGACCTGGCTGTTTTCGGTTCGCGAGAGGGCGTCGCGGCCGTCATTTTTGCGGGTCCAGGTCCGGCCGTTTTCATTAAAGGGTGGTTTACTAAAGGGAGGTTTGTCAACCGCCGAAAGAAAACGGCATCGACGGTGCCGACATTCGCGCGTAATCTTCCCGCGTGAGCTCGCGCGTAAGCGCCCACATTTCCAACGCAGCGTGCCGCGCAGGCGGTCTGCGTGAGCCACCGCGCAAGGTCACTGTGCCATCTTGCGTAAGGCTCTTTCTTTGATCGTCGATCATTTTGCGAAATAGACGCACGCAATCGTAAAATGCATGGGGTATGGACGTCCGAGCGATGGCAAGGGGCCCTCAAATGGCGCTCTCATAGCCTTCCCAGGACGCTCCCCTGGACAAGCGGCCAGACGCCGTGCGGCGCCCGACGCGCCCCCGGGAAGGCCCTGTGTGCCGCCCGCCGAGGGCGTGTATTCCCCGACGACGACGACGACGAGGACGACGACGACGAGGACGACGACGACGACGACGACGACGATGACGAGGGGAGGTGGTGGTGCGGCGGCCGCCCGCCGAGGTTGTGTACGCCCTGTTCATCGCGATCCACACGCGCGCGATGCGGTTCGGCGGCCGCGGCCCCGGCGGAGCCGCCCACCGTCCTCGCGGGCCCTGGCCCGGCGTTGGGCGGGGCGCACGGAGGGCGGGGACGGACGACGGGGGAGGGACTCAGACCTCCAACAACAACAACAACCTCAGTAGCAGCAGCAGCAACAGCAGCAGTAGCAACAGCAGCAACAACAGCATCAGCACCAGCACCATCAACACCAACACCAACACCAACGCCAAGACCAACAGCAACACCAACACCAACAACAATGACAACAGCACCACCAACAACACCACCAGCAACGCCATCAAACACCACCAGCAACAACAGCAACAACAACACCAACAGTCTTTTTCAGACTGTTCGCTCCTATCTGCTCGTGTACCAGTCACCACGTGTATTCCACACCCTCGGTGCCCGCCCTCTTCGTCTTCGACTGTGTCCCCTTGGGGATGTATCTTCCTTACCTGCCACGTGCAAACAGCGCAGGCCCTGAAACAAGGGACGAGGACGAATGGAATGGGGGAGGTAGAAGGATGGAGCACGAGAGAAATTAGCAGGAGGGGGGCTCGGAGCAGAAAAAACGTGGCAGAACCAGACGGGCAGATCGGGTGGGCAGACCCTAGCGGACGGGTCGGGAAGGCGAGCCCATGCGGCCAGTTCGAGCAGGGGGGTTGCTGAAGCGTGAGTCCTGCATGAATCGCGAGGAAGTCTTGAGCGATAGCACGATTCCCAAGTAAATCGTGAGAAAAGCCAAAGGGAGAGCGTGATTCCTGAGTGTCGAGGGCGCGGCGTCCGAATCAATTGCGAGGAAGTCCCACGTGAGAGCGCGATTCCTGCATTAATTGTGAGGAAGTCCCGCGCGTGAGCGCGATTTTGATATATGTATTTTGTTTCACTGTGGAATGCAGAGCAGCGTCAGAGAGTGGCCGCAGGTTTGAATGAGTTTCTGTGACAACAACACTATTGAAACCTTTTCCGTATCCGTTTAAGCTCGAGAGCTTGTGCTGGAAAGTGCTACACGGGCGGTGCCAGCGGGGAATGCAGACGGCGCTGGCCGAGGCGGTGGTGCGGGAGACGCTCCACTGGGTCGGCCTGTCGCAGGTGCTGGCCGCGAGCAGGTGCCCAGAGGTGCCTGCCTGCCCTGCGGTGCCGGCCTGTCCGGCGCTGCAGGAGATCCCCAGCTGCCCGGCCTGCCCCGGCACGCCGCCAGCGCCGCCGCGGGCCACCTCGCCGCACGGCCCCGCCTGGGCTGTGATCCTGGGGGCCTTCTTCGTCGGGGGTCTCGTGGTCGCCGCCGTCTTCGGCGTGGCGGGGAGCCGGGCCTGCTCACGCCGGGCGAGCCCGCCGACCTCGACGCCAGCCGCGGAGGATGGCCGCGGCTGCGCCGCCGGCCCTGCCGCCCCCAGTCCTGGACGAGTGGGCCTTCGTGCTGTACACTGTGCCGGGGGCCCCAGTCTACCACCAGCGCCGGGTAGTGGGCTGCCGGCGCGGGGTGTGCTCGGCGACTCAGCTGGGGCGAGTCCTGATAGCGACGCCAAACCTCGACGTGTACGAGGAGGACTACCGAGCAGGATCGATGGGCGTAGACATCGCGCGCGTGGTGTTCAGTCCAGCGAAGTGGCCGCCACCAGCGACAGTGCCGCGCGCCCAGGTGTACAGGTTCAGAGACGAGCCCACCGGCCAGGAGTATGCCGCTATGCGGGCGGCCGCCCGCTCCGAGGCAGAGAGGCTGTGGCTTGCCGACGACAGAGCGGCTGGCGGCCCGGGAGCGCCGATCCCAGACAACGAGTTCGTGCCGTTCGAGTCGATCGCCGGCGTGATGGCTGGTGTCGGCGGGGCTGCCGGGCCAGGGGCCGCGGCTGCGGGTGCGGCGCCTGCGGGGGCGGTGGTGCCGCTTGCGGCCTGGCCCGCCGCGCCGGCGCCGATCGCGGGCGGCCCCGCGCCGGGCCTTGCGCTGGCGCCGGCTCCGCCAGCGGCAGCGGCACCCGCTGCGCCCGTCGCCGTGGGAGCCCCCGCCGCCGGCGCGGCTGCGGCAGCGGGCGCGGCGCCCCAGGGGCGGCCGCCAGCCATCCCAGATGGCCTGCCGATCGCCGTCCCGGCGAACGGCCTGGCCCCCCTGGGGTGGAGCTGGCGCGCGCTGGAGGACCTGGCTGGGCTCGTGGCGTACGGTGACCCGGCCGGTGGACGTCGGCGTGGCGGGAGGCCCTACCCTCGCCGGCGGCGCCGGTCGCCGGCAGGTGGCTCTCCTGCCCAGCGGGCACTCGGTCTTCGTCGCCCTAGTGGCGGACACGGAGATCGAGCACCTCAAGCGGGAGTTCAGAGGCTCGGATGCACGGACGCTGCCCGTGGTGAGGACCGCGATCGGCCGAGAGCGATCGTGGGCCTCGGTCGTCACCGACTGCCGCGAGGAGGATGTCCAGGACTTCGGCGTGAAGGCCCCGAGGTCGGTGAAGTGGTGCGCGGCCTACCAGCAGCGAGACGGCGGGCCGGTGCTCCACTCAGAGATGTGGAAGAGCAGGCGCCGACTTCAGGACAGCGACTTCGGGGTGGCCGAGCACGAGACGTTGAGCAAGGTGGTCGAGCTGCTCGGCACCACCGACCAGGTGGACATATACAACCTGGCGGGGGTGGAGGTCGCGTACCGGAAGCTCCAGCTGATCGAGTACTACTGGGACGAGCGGCGGCAGGAGCAGCAGCAGGCCAACTCCAAGCTGCCGCTGGATGAGGTGCAGGCCTTCATGGGAGGGGGCCGAGCCGCCAGCATGGTGTGTCCAGAAGTGCTGGACCAGGTGGCGAAGGAGTTGGAGAGGATCGCAGGCATCGAGAAGAACGCGAGGAAGTTGCGGGAGGAGCAGGCCGCCCTGGCCAAGAAGGCTCCTCCCGCGAAGGGATGATGCACCACCCGCCGCCGGGGCTCCCCGACCCGCGCGGCGAGACCGATGGGGGGCGTGGCGGCTGGCGGGGACCGCAACCGGTCGCTGCTGCCGCTGCCGCTGCCAGCCTGGTGCTCGACGGCGGCTGGGCGCACTGGCGGGCGTCGCAGCCGAGGCCGTGCTGCTGGGCGGGCGCGCCAGGCAGGGCTGCTCTGTGACCTGGTTCAGGCTTTGAACCAGATGGACGCTGGGGAGGATCAACTTCGGCGACGGCCTTTGGCGACACACTGTCGCATTCAGGAGCTGGCGCTCGAGCACCTCACCAGCTGCTGTGCAGAGCTGGGCAGCCCGCCGCCTGACCTCACGGCCGACGCGGCCCTGCGGGGGCTGCAGGTCAGTCCAGCTTATGGCGCTGAAGAGCCCCAGACGCTGGCCCCTTTGGCATTCGACCTCGTCTCGCTGCCGAAGGCGGGTGCAATCGCGCGCCCTCTGGAGGATCTGCTTGGGCGGAACGGTCTCGATTTTGTCGATGCTTTTCTCGACGGCAAGGTTTTGCCAAGTCGGCTTGCTGCGGAGCGGAAGACTGATGCAAAGTTTTCCAAGCCCTACCTCGATCCCTGCCTGCGTGATCCAGCACGTCGTGCGGTGTTCGCTCGACGCTTGCTGGACGCAGGCGTGCTCGACCTCGTTCCCGATTCGGTCGAGGTGCGCGAGGAAGTGGGTTTGTTTGCGGTGTGGAAAAAGAATGGTTCGCAGAGGCTGGTCGTTGACTGTCGAGGCAGTGGCTTTCATTTTGAAGATCCCGAGCACGTATCTTTGGCATCGGGTGCTAGTCTGTCCTCCATTCAGATTCCTGAAGGAAAAAATTTGTGGATGTGAGGCGTTGACATTTGTGACGCATTCTATCGCATGGGTCTTCCCTCCGCCCTCCGCCCCTTCTTTGTCCTCCCTCGCGTCCGGGCTGGAGACCTCGGGCCCCCAGAGGATCTGTAGATCCCGGGTTGGGATCTATGAGTTTGGGCGCCATCAACAGATCCCTTTACTTATGACAAGATAACAGTAGATCCTGTTTTGCTTGCATCATGCGAAAACGGGATCTATAAGTTATGTGTTCAGACAGTGTTATCGCAAATTACGCGTGTCGATGTAATGTCTGCACCAAACTCAAGATCAGCATCGCGCGTATCATATGTGGTACAGTTCTCTACGATCGCGGCGCGATGCATCATGCGTCCGCAGCTTGCTTGAATACCAATGCTTGTTGACGTAGCGGTTGCAGCAACCCGTATTTGCGATTTGGATCTCTTTTCACGTGTATATTGTGAATAGGAAGGTGAGCATAGCCTGCAAGACAACCACGGCATGCGCGCTGCTGCGAGCCATCTGTATACGCATAGTGAGCTCATCTATACACAGGCGCACTCTGCATGAGCCCTGAATCCGTTTACATGGTTCAGGGCTCATGCAGACTGCGCTTGCATGCGCGGACGCGGCAATCCAGCCAGCCCCGAACACGGCCTCGGCCTTCGCATGCGCGCGTTGCGATCAGTTGCGGCAATCCCGAGGACTGCGCGCCTGTCCAGCAGCGAACCAAAGCCCAAGCAGTTCGCCGCTGGCTCGAACGCGGAGAAAAACGCGCCATGTCTGCCACGGGCGCCGCCGTCCCACGATGGATAGCCAGCGCTAGTTCGAGCCGTCGCCGAGGAGGAGGAGGGGGGGGGGGTGGGGGGGGGGAGGGGGGGGGGAGGGAGAAGCAGGAGGAGGGGGGGAGGAGGGGGGGGGAGGGAGGGGGGAGCGAGGGGAGGGGCTGGTGTTTCTTTCTTTATATATACACAGGCGTAGAACGCGCGGGTTCGCGTGCGGAAGGTCGCACCACGCCCAGTTGTACCTGGGGGCAGCAACATCTTTATGTTTCGCGCTGTGCGCATATGCGTTATGTTACGCAATAGTTTAGCCCTGGGGCTCCCGTTCTCGTCCAACCACCCGAGGGTGGCGGTGGCGGGCCTGTTGTCGTCGCATGGGTCGATCGCCGCAGGCGCCCAGTGCATGGGCGCGCGAGCCCGCCCAAGGGGCGGCATGTCCCGCGAGGGCGCCTCCCGCAAGTGCAGCGGCAAGGGGTTCCGCGGGACATGCCGCCCGCCATGCGCCCGCCATGGTGGGTGTTCGGGGCCCCATGGCTGTGCGCCTGGGAGATCTGGCAGAGCTGCCAGATCCAGCTCCTCCTCCAGGCCATGGGGGTGCGCCCAGGAGGTGCTCCACATGCGCCGCGGCCGCCGCCGCGGCCGCGGTCGCGGGGTCAGCCGCGGGGCGCGGTCTATCCCCGTACCTCGCGTAGTTCATTGCGTTGGGCACCGCGTGTGCAGCGGCGCGCGGGGAGTGGGCGAGCGGGGGGGGGGGGGGGGGGGGGTCCGAGTGGGGAAGTAGGAGGCAAGGGGGAGAAATGAAGAAGAGAAGGAAGAGGAAGAGGAGGGCGGAAGCGGCGGACGACGACGATGAGGGGGGGGGTGTGTGTGTGTGTGTGTGTGTGGTGTGTGTTGTGTGTGTGTGTGTGTGTGTGTGGTGTGTGTGTGTGTGTTTGTGGTGTGGTGTGTGTGTGTGTGTGTGTGTGTGTGTGTGTGTGTGTGTCGTGGGGGGGTTGTGGGGGGGGGGGGGGGGGGGGGGCGAGGGGACGAGGACGAGGAAGGGGACGTCGAGGGGGGAGGAGGAGGAGGAGGAGAGGAGGAGGAGGAGGAAGAGTGTGAGGAGGACGCCGCCGATGACGACGCCGCCGACGCCGCCGCCGCCGCCGCCGCCGACGCCGACGCCGACGCCGACGCCGACGACGACGACGACGACGACGTCGGCGGCGACGACGACGACGACGAATACTACGGTGGCGGCGGCGGCGATGGCGACGGCGACGGCGGCGACGACGATTGCAACCGCGACGGCTGCGACGAGGGGGGTGAGATTTGGGCCGCCTCGGAACTGCGGGCGAGCGACGTCTAGCATTTGTCAAGCATGACATCCAACTCCTCATCGGTGAATTCTTTAAACTCACTGGGCGGAGGGCCAGGGTCCACGAGAGGCTGCGCGGGCATCGAGCTGCTCGGGCTCGAGCTCGTGCCGCTCACTTTGAAAGGGGTACCCGATAGGGGGATGGTTCCTTCGAATGCTACTCGGTTTTGCCGCTGCCCTCCCCGCCTAACCCATCGTCCTCGTCCTCTGCCTCCTATCCCTCCTCCTCCTCCCCCTCCTCATCCTCCTCCTCCTCCTCCACCTCCTCCTCCTCCTCCCCCTCCTCCTATTATGCGTTGCCATCCTCTCGCATTATGTGAGGTTCCCCCCCTCTGATAGTAGAGGTGTTGCTTTGCCTGCCCGCCGAAACGATTGTCCACGCGGCTGTCGGTGCGCTCAGAGTATTAGCACGCTCGCGCAAGATCTCAGTCTGCACATTGTCCAATGCTGCTCGGGCTCGCTGGTTTGCTACATCCATGCTGACATGATAATACGCTGGCTGATAAGGCTTGGCGATCGGCTGGTTGGCTGTCGTGCTCTGCTTCGGCTCGTCGTCCGATTTTTCGTCGGCGTCGTCCGATGGCTGAATGTCTGGCTCCAGCTCACGCTTCTTAGATGCAGTTTCTCCGTCTGAAGCTGGCTGCCTTCCGAAATGATGGAGTGGCGGTGGAAGGGGTGGGAAGGCGAGGGGAGGTGAATGAGGAGGGGGAGGAGGAAGAGTAGGAGTAGGACGAACAACTTATATATTATGTGTATGCGTGGCCGCAGCCTGGGCAATATATCAACCAGGGAATATATCATCTCGCGCGGCGCGTTTCCATGATCCGCAATGCCCATATCATTTTCTGAGGGGATGTGCATTTCTGACTAGGCTCCGCGGGCGAGAAGTGAAATCGCGATCCTTAGAATATATCTTCGAGCCGAGACCGATCCGATCCGAGGAGGCGAGGCCACTAGACTTCGATGGGCCCCCCACGTACAGATACACCAGAAACAACTCAAACGTCGACCCTCGAGGCCCGTCGTTTCAACCACGGTGTAGCCAGAACGTGACCGCATGCAAATCACATGCAAATCATTTGCAAATGATTTTGCATGTGAACTCGCCCGATCCCCTCTTGAATCCATGTGGTCCGTGCCGATGCGATGCGCCCGAGCCCGCCGCGGATGGGCGCAGCTCTGAAAACTGGCGCTCAGACCGTCGGCCTCTGCAACTCGCCCCACCCCCTCCGAACTCAAGACGTGGGCCCGACAGAGACCGACGAAGACTGCGCCAACGTGATCTGGTCGATCCAGAGCTGCGCACCGAACACGCAGGCGATCAACGTCGCCGAGGCGGGCGGGCGCGGGCGCAGAACGTGACAGTCTAGCAGCGCGAATGGCATTAGCACAGTGGTTCTCCCCTCCATACCCTATCCCCTCTAGTAGTCCGCGGGTGTCTCGAACGCCTCCCCCCCGCCCCTATACGAGGCTCATAAGCTGGCCTCTCGCCGAGCATCCACCGACAACAAATCGATTACAACAAGCGCAATCTTGTTGGCAAACTCCTGCGGGTAAATCTTGGACGCCGCCATGGCGCCTTTCTGCCCTGTTACCCATGCTTTGCCAGAACTGCTGGGTCTCTTGGTGAAACTGCTGGGTCTCTTGGTGAGACCGCCTGAACTGGATGGCGTTCTCAAAGCGCTGGCGGGCTTCCGATGGGTCTTGCTGTACAAAGGGGTCCTCTTGTCACCGAGCCGACGCGCGGCATCTGATTTGGATTTGAAAATGTGCGTGGACAGACCCCTCACAGTGGACCATATTTCTAATGTTTTCACTGATGTGGATCCGTAAGCGCCAAGACTGGTGATGACCCTCTCTGCAGCGGTCTTGAAAATGTCATCGGAGATGGTGACGACGTGGAAGAATATCGAATTCAGAGGCTGCTCGATTGCCCACTTCACCCCCCGCGTGGCGGCCAGGAAGATCAGGAACGACCTGTGGGGATCGGCGCGCGCGAGCCGCGCGCGCGCCCCCCTGGTCGA